AAGGTGGACGACGTTGACCTTATGAGCCATCCGGCGTACAGTCCCGACCTGGCACCTTGTGACTTTTATTTGTTTCCAAAAATTAAGAACCAGTTACGCGGTCTACGATTTTCATCACCTGAAGAGGCTGACGAAGAGTAGGAAAAATATGTTTCCGAAATTGTCACGGAGGAGTGGCATAAATGTTTTCAAAATTGGTTCATTCGTATGAAAAAGTGCATTAACGCTAACGGAGAATATTTTGAGGAACAATAAATTCATTTCTGTCCTTTTATAGTATTTTTTTCTTATCAATTCCTGAAATTTATAGTGCGCCGCAAATACAATCAAAATTTATTTAGCTTTACATACCTACTATGACCATATACTAGATATAACACTATGTATTATAACAATTTATTTTTAAATTTAGGTTTGAGTCGTTAGATGAAATGAAATTTAGATAAATTGGTATTATGTTGACGGAGGTTTATAACTTATGATTGTTATTAAAAATGAGTGTTAGAGCAAATGATTGTTATTAAAACTGAAATTATAAATGTAAATTTATAATAAACGTTCGTTTTATGAAGTGGATTGTTATATTAAATAAATTTATACGAAATAAAATTATGCCATATAAGCTTTATCATCATCATCATCATCATCATTTCAGCCAAAAGACGTTCTCTGCTGAACATAGGACTCCCCCAAAGAATGCCTCAACGATCTGTCCTGAGCCGCTTGCATCTAGCGGATTCCCGCAGCCTTCACCAGATCATCAATCCACCTTGTGGGTGGTCTGCTCACGCCGCTTCTACCGGTACGCGGTCGTCACTCAAGAACTCTTTGGCCCCACCGGCCATCTGTTCTGCGAGCAATCTGCCCTGCCCATTGCCACTTAAGTTTTTTAATTCTAGGGCTATGTCGGTTACTCTGGTTCCCTTGCGGATACCTTCATTACTAATTCGATTCCGCTACGAAACTCCGAGCATAGCCCTTTCCATTGCCCTTTGAGTGACCTTGAGTTTTCTTATGAGGCCCATAGTGAGCAACCATGTCTCAGTGCCGTAAGTCATCACTGGCAACACACACTGGTTGAAGAGACACTGTGGTATTTCGAGACACTTATTATCTTATCTTGAGACACTGTGGTATTTTGGACAAGAATATGTGGCGTAATTTCCCGACCGCTGCCCAGCCGAGTCGGATTCGACGATTGACCTCTTTCTCGAAGTTGAACCTACCTAACTGGATAATTTGTCCTAGGTGTACATAATCGACAACAACTCTGAGTGTAGAGTTTCCGATCTTCACGAGAGTTGGCCGTACATGGTTATTCGACATAATTTTCGTTTTGTCATGTTCATTTTAAGATCGACTTTTTCTGAGGCTCTACTGAGGTCATCTCTGAAATGGCTGAGAAGCCATGACTACTATATTATCGGCGAACCGTAATGTACGCACAAGGGACTGCAGTACAGTCCAGGTCTCAATTGAATCCAAGGCTTTCTCGTAGTCCACAAACGCTAAGCATACAGGCAGGTTGTACTCTTCGGCCTTCTGTATAACTTATCGTAGCGTATGTATGTGGTCCACGGTACTAAAGTCTAAAATAAGCTTTATATTAAAAATATTTATAGAATACATTACATACCCGTCGAAAAATTTCAAATTTCAAATCGCTTTATTTTAAAATAAATTAAACTTGAAATAATATACGGCCTACATGACATCCAGGCTATATGACAACTAAGTTATGTAAGTGTATATGTAATAATTAGGTATAATATTTTATTTAAAAATGGAAAGCTCTATTCAGACTTTTCCACTTTTGAATAAAATAACTAATAATAATAAATAAAATAGCTTTCGATTAAAAAAACACTCATCTTGATATTCTTGTGTAATTTAGGCGTTGTTTAGTTTAAAAGCGTGTGCGTCTTGGGTGGGGGAGTAATGGCGCTCTGGGGGACCGTTGCGCGCCCGGGAACCGTGCCGCATAAACATGCTCCTGCAATTTTAAGTTTTTGGCATGCGGCTGTGGCATTATTCAAACCGCCGTTTTGTATCAAGGAAGCTTGTGGAACCACTGCGCGACGTAATTTATGTGTACACTCTTATTTTGCGCTCCCTGTATGTGATGTCACTTTATTATCCGATTTCGGGCTGTAAAACGGCTCTACAACGCTTTGGACGTTTTGCTTAGCTACGGCATAAAGTCGATAAGTTGATACTTTATGTACACTGGAGTCTTAAATCTGTAATATTTATTTTTATCGAATTTTTGAATTTGAATTTTTAACCGCTATGCTATTCAAATAGGTCTTTTTTTGATATAAAGATCCAAAAACCACACCGACACGCCAGCAACAAAAAAAGTATAAATTTTGTTAGTAGGATAAATAATTTATTAGAATTGTTTATTAATTTATCGTCATTGTTCACTATACGAATTTAACTTTATGAAACCAGATGATTGGACGAACAAGTTGTGTATCTGGTCACGCCCTGTCAATAATCGTTGCAGTGTCGCTCACAGCTTTATACCGCAAAGGCTTGAGGGGCACGCCACTGCACCCGTCACCGTGAGACATAAGTTGATAAATCTCATGTACCCGTAATTTCACCGTCACCCTTACCCTTTTAAATCAGAACGCAGTAATGCTCACATTACTGCTTGGCGGCAGAAATAGGTAAGGTGGCAATACTTCACTGGACAAACTCTTTCACATGGAGCTCTACTGCTACTAAATTATAATAATAATAAACAACTAGGCGTTACATTGTCTGAGAGCATATATCAGCTCAAACATTATGTTACACGGGATATAAAATACAACAGAACAGTGCAGTTAATTGATTTATTATGTTGATTTGCCCAACCTGAAAAAGCAATGTATAAAGTCAGGCGTGCGTCTGAGCTCAAAAATCTGAGGGGTATCGCCACTCACCCGTCACCCTGAGGCATAAGTTGATAAATGTCACGTGCCTATAATTTCACCAGTACTCTTACCCTTCAACACATCAAAACCGAACCGCATTAATACTCACATTACTGTTTGGCGGCAGGAATATGTAAGCAGTATTTCATTGGACGAACTTTTTGACAAGGAGATCTACTGCTACTGAAATAAAATATGAGGGAATTACGCGTTATAGAGTTAAACATTATTTGAAACTGCTTCATTACCAAAATGCAAACATTATTGACTAATAACCATTAAAAATAGGTAATTGAAAAAATTAAGCTTCTGAAAGCTGAACACTGAACACAGCGCTAAAGGAAAGCTTTAGTCTTTAGCGGCAAATCTCCTTATCCACTACAGAGTGCTCAGATTAGATAATCCGTTAAGCATTTTGAGTTGGCGGAAATTAGCGTATTAATAAATAAGCATGAAAAGTCAAAAGGGGCATCTAATGCCTAAAAACAACGGTTACCATGCCGGACTACCACGCAGAGGTCCCAGGTTCGATTCCCGAGCCGGGAGAAATATTTGTATGGCTTACATTTATTTATCTCGTGAGTTTGGGTGTAGTTTGTTGTTTTCTATGTGTGTGTCCATGGCACCCGCGACCCAGGGTTTCTTCAGGGTTTCAGGGTTATTTTGAGTGTGTGCGTTATAAAAAAAATATTATTGACTTAATTAATACACTTTTGCGATACAACACAAAAACACGATGAACTTTAATAACCGAGTTCTCACAAAGACATAATTTTTTGTCTCACACTTAGGTTCTTAATTAATACTGGCATAATTTGATAATTGAATAAAATTGAATATAAAGAATTATTAACGTATTGATCGATATGGAAATGAATTTCAATAATACTGGCTTACTATGAGTTGCCATTTGACGCAGGATTTGGCTGAATTTAAGCGTCATTGCAAAATATTTTCATAGATAATAAAATATTTATTATTATTCTTCCATGTGTACAGTACAAGAAGCGTTGTTTCAGCATAAAAGCAGTATTATCAAAAAATCATTAAATGTTATAATAATTCCTTACTGCAACACGTTTTTTAGAGAAAATATGAATTTGCACATTCAAATTCCTAGTACAAGTTACTTAAATCTTGATATTTGGTTGAGAGGTAACACTAACATTGTTTAATTGCCCAGATCCTAAATTTAACTTGATGCTGTAATAAATGATTGTGGAGGCGGATTTGAAATAACTCTGTGGAAATAACTTGATCTGTATTTCGTACAGACAGTTTTTGCATTTTATACTATTAAGGTATGGGTTTACTTGTGCATAATACACGTTTATGGGTAATCGTTAAGAGGTATTTTTAGGAGCTAAGATTGCGCGGGGGGAACAATTTGCTTGCATTAAAGAGTTTCAGGCTCAGTAGGTTTCTCGTTAAGTAGGTTTGCATAGGACATTTCGAAATACAACTAATCACATGAGCGTTGCATGCCTTTCTAATTCTAATTTTTAATTCTTTGCCATTTGACTAAACCATTATCTCCAGTAGTTTTTCTTCGTAGTAGGTTTGTACTTTTGGGTTACTATTGTTCCATGTGGAACTGAGTACCTGGAACTACTGGGAAAACCAAACCAAGTATAAAAGTATTTATTTAGCGCTTTCATAACTATCAATCAACTCCTTCATCACGCATCCCAAGTAACAGCGAAAATTACCCTGGGGGTGATCCTGGCCGCCCTCTAGGGGTTCAGGTTTATGGAATACGATTTGCCCATACAAAGTTCAAAATCCGGTTTAATCCTCTTACAAGGGTAGTTAAGAAAAGCTAATGTCCCTTGTAAATAGGTTTGAAGCCGCCAACTCCATCCTTCGCAACGGAAAAAGTATTACCACAAACCATTGTGGCAACTTCTGTCGCCTACATGTGGATATTACTGCAAAAGCACTTTGTCGGAAGAAAAGCAAACCAGCAATAAGGGCGGTCCTTAAATATTCCAACTACATACTCACGACATTTACTGAAAATGCTGACACAGAACCAAACTACTATAAATACTAAAGTGTAGTATTTGTTTCCAGAGTGGAGCGGTGTGATGGAGGGACTGAGGTGAGGGCGCGCGGCGGGCGGCGCGAACCCACCGCGTCCGCCCATGGCCCCCGCCTTGATACCCAGGTATTGAAATCATTTACATCACTTTCGAAACGATATTTTCTGTTTTAATGTTTTTCTCGCCGAGTTTCCATTTCGACTAGCGGCCTCAACCACTATTGACCCGCAAGGAGACTGCTCAAAACAACGTATCTACCGCGTATTCATTTAAATAAAAGTAAGATAAACAGAAAAAGACACAGGATGTTGAAATCAGATAGAAGCAATAAGGAATCTTCATGAAATGGTTTTTATGGCTCCACGATTTTCTGTGAAACTGTTTGGTTTTGTTACGTATTTGTGAATGCATTTGTTTGTTAAAATAGATGTCATTTACTGAACAAAGCAAGATATTATTATAACACGTATAAAGGTCGTTATTTTTGGCAAGAAGAATAATAATATTTTTGTTATGTTTCACTTTTTTCGTTGTAGACTTAATAATTCTTTTTTCACTGAAATTTCAATACTTTATTAATGTTTTTCGTCGTTCTTAAAACTTTTATTGTCCTACCTTCTTGCTCGCAAGGTTCACAAATTGATCATTACTTTAAAGTAATAAAATGTAAATATAATAAGTATCTGGCCAGTTATGTAACCGGTATGCTTAACAGGTGGATGGTGCAATGGCTGGTATTTATGGCGGTGGCGGCGCTGACCGACGGCGCGCTTGCCCACCCGCAGCTGCCGCCGGTCCTGGTGCCGCCCTGCCCCGCACAATGCATCTGCTTGTCGCAATCACAGGTCGATAAATAAATATATTAAATAAATTTAGCATAAGAATGTAGTTGTAAGAATGCGGGTTCGACATTTTTTATGAAATTTAAATGAAAAATTGTACTAAATTTTCTTAATTAGTTTTACAGAACGCCGACAAAAGTAAGATACTAGTATGTGGTATGAATAGACGGAATCAAGTAAAGTATCGGTAACCTATCACAAACTCGAATTTCTTTTTTCCCAATTTCATTACTCCGAAAACGGTTCGACTTTTCGAAATAAAAATCGGGTAAAGAATAACTTGTCAATATGTCAAAATAGTGAAACATTAAATGGTGTAATGAAAAAAATCGTAACGTGTTTTCGGACAAATGAAACAAAATCTATTCAATAAAAATCTAAAGGTTTTCGGAGAAACGAAATTCTATAAATCATGTTTCTAGCTTGTGATAGGTAACCTAAAGTTTCTCATGAACAGAATGGAGCTTTTATTATGATTAACTTAATAAGCAGCTAGCTTGCGAATAAAATTTCAGTTTTAAAGATAGACTATCAAATTTCCAACGGCTTCAATTATTCGGTGGAAGGTTTACTAATTTAATGAAAAAGGTTACGTTCGATATTGCCGTACCTGCATATCAGCACTGTGCATGCATGTTCCTTTTTATTCAATGTAATTGATGTCTGTTTTGGTCATTTATTTGAGGAGCTTAAAGTTCTGTACAATCGAATAAAAATATGAACGTGCGGCTGTATATGTCGATGGGATATTCGGCAAGGGATTAATTTTATTGACAGAATAAAATACAGAACGATAACTTTTTAGCTATTTTATGCTACGATGCGATTAAAACTGAAGTGGTATTTTTAATACTTTGATTCAAACTTTTACGATTTTCGCACATTATTTGATTGGTATTTTTAATACTTTTATAGCAAGGAATTTAAAGCCGGGACTCAATGTTGATGAAACAATTTGTTCTTAGGTGGTATGCAACAGCGCGATGCTGCGGGGCGTACCGTCGGCGTTGAGCACTGGCGTGACACAGTTGTCTTTGTCGCGTGCCGACCTACGCGTGCTGCGCTCTGACGCGTTCGCACATCTGCGCCAGTTACGGCGCCTGGCGCTGGACGCATGCAACCTCACGCGCATCCGCCCGTTTGCCTTCCGCGGCCTACCGCGCCTGCGTGAGTTGCTTATCCAGCACACTCCGCTGGCCACTGTCGACGCCTTCGCCTTTGCCGCTTTACAGAACATCACCTCAATTGTACTCACACACAACAGGATTGCGCAAATTGAAGGCTACGCATTTGCTGGAACTAACTTCATAAAATTGATATCTTTGCGAAATAACCCAATCAAGAAAATATTGGCTCATGCTTTCTCGGGACTGACGGATGTCAGCCAAATAGAACTGCCTTCGGGGATCAGGTCTATCGAGCCCCAGGCCTTTGCCGGGTTGGAGGGCGTCGGCGTACTCGAGCTTGCCTATATGGATTTACCTTCATTGTTGGCCGACACTTTTAGAGGAATGACGCGGGTCGGTCGCCTCGCGCTACGCGAGTCGGATCTCGGCATCATAAAAGTCAGCGCGTTCGATGGTCTGCAGCGCGTGGATACTCTTGAAATGTGCAATAACAAAATCGACGGAATCGAGGAGCTCGCTCTAGTGCAAAATAATAGTGTGAATACTTTCAAATTGACTGGTAACCATATACTGGAATCGCCGGAATCGGTCGTTCTGGAGGTCGAAAATATTGTGATTCGTGGGAACCACCTCCCATGTGAGTGCGGGCGCGATCCGTTGGCAAATCCGCTGGCGTTGGCTGAAGATTTCGCGGAAGAAAACTTTTGTATTTCTCCGCTCAAGGTACGTGGGCGGAGCCTGGCCAGCGCGGCCGGTGCTGCATGTCGCGGGGACTCGGGGGGCAGTGCACGCGCTCGAGCAGCCGCCGGCGCGGCGAGACTGCTGGACGCGCTCATCTCGCCTACTCCGCACTTCGCGCTCACGCTGGCCGCCCTCGCTTTCCTTGCGAATAGTTAATCGCCCTTAGTGTTCAATTATTAAATTATGTACGTACTTGTTTGTAAATATTGTATTATATGATGTGACTATGCGAAATTTTACATTGAAACGGTCCGTTCATTGAGTATACGTTGGACCATGAATAAAATTTGCCTTTGGAAAACGTGTTTTAAAGTTGCATCTCAACATTTCCATCAACCACAATCCCTTCACTTTATATGTACAGGGATGCTGGAATAGTGACGCCAAAAAAAAAATTTAGATGCCTCACATTGAGGTGTATACGAATCACCCCCATTTATGTTCTGCGATTTTTCGTAGTTTTCGAGTTATAATTTTTTAATGGATTTTTGAAATTTTTGATCGGATAGGCTCTAAATTTTTTTTTTTTCAATTTGTACAACAATTTTTGGGGTTTATTTTTGTAACTCAATCTTTATGAATTGTACTTTAATGTACAAAGTAATCGGCTTCGTAACATCAATGGAAGCTACGAAAGTTTTGACTCAAAGTGGAAAATTCGCGTTCGAGAGAGTCAGACTTGAATTCTCAACTTTAAATTAAAAATCTAAACCGGCAATTCCATAGTTCCTGGGTAACTTTAACTTTAACTGCGCTAGACTCTAAACTTTCATATTAATACAAAATAACAATTATTTACTTTATAGGCCTTTATTTGCTGACATCAACCTTCAAATGAACTGAGGTCGAAAATTCCTACTATAGTAATTTGATTAAAAAAAAAAAAAATATTGCCTATTTTATCTTCCCTAAGGCTAATTATGGTAGAAAGTGTATGAAGTAATAAAATAATAACTGTAGGAAAGCTCTGGACATTTTAAATTTTGTTTAATTTTATCCTACATGTTTTTTGCGATCTGTTCTCGGAAATTTAGATGCACCTTATCTTTTTTTACCCGGAATAACAAGGGATCAAAGGGTAAATAATACTAATGTCTCCCTCACTCTTTGTAGCTAGATCCGGTGTAAGCGAGAGTAACAACGAGCAACGGGAGTCAATGCAAACAAAAAGCGCCTCAGTCGTTCTCACCTTGTGTTTACTGCTACCTAGTCGTGTCGTTGTTTTATCTCTACCACTACACTCGCTTTGCCCACGGACCCTGCTACCTACTTATCTGACTAGTTTGCTCGTTTATTGGGCTCTGTTTTGCATAGTGATTTGGACTTCGTTTACTTGAAAGCACGGAAGAAAGAAAAGAATGTGGTTTGTGCTTGAAAGTGTTAGAGATGAGCTACACGTTAAGTGAATATACAGAAATGCATTATTTTTATGGCTTTGCTCATGGCAACGGCCATGAAGCTGCACGACTGTATCGAGATCAACTTCGACGCCAAAGTGGACCACAATCTGATCGATATCCCGATCATCGTGTTTTTACTAATACGCACGCCACATTAATGGCAGGTCGCATTCCTCCGGATCGCAGAGAAATAGTGCTGGAGGCACTTCGTCAGAATCCATCAACGAGTACGGGAACTATGGCTCGAACTTTGCGCATCCCAAGATCGTCTATCTAAGAGATAACTCACGAGGAAGGATATACCGCATATAACGCATATCATATTCAGCGAGTGCAATTAAGCTTTACTGCCTGCAGATTATCAATTGCGGGTTGATTTTTGCCGAATTATGTTGCGAAAACAGCGAGAGGATCCCCAATTATTTAATTAGATTTTGTGGACTGATGAGTCACGATTTGAGTGAACTGGTATATTTAATATTCATAATTACCACACATGGGCGGTTGAAAATCCACACGCGGCGAGACTTTCAACTTTTCAACATCGTTTTAGTGTGAACATGTGATCTGGTATCCCCAATGGAGAATTAATTGGGTCGTTTGAACTGCCGCCAAGACGTAATGCAGAAATCTACAAAAGTTTTTTTGGAAAACGATCTACCACTGTTGATGGAAGACGTTAACCTTGAAACTCTACGGTTTCAAAATGACGGCGCACCATGTCACTACGCAATACAAGTGCGAAACTATTTAAACCAAACGTACCCGAACAGATGGATCGGACGAAACGGACCAATTAGGCGGCCGTCACACTCACCTGACCTCAACCCCATCGACTTTTGTTTGGAGTTTTTACAAAGAACATACGCCCGAGAATGTACGAATGAACAAGAACTGAAGGAGAAAATCCAAGAAGCCAAACGTGATGTAAAAGGCAAGCTTTTCGAAGACTAAAACGCAATTTCTTGCGAAGGTGTAGGATGTGCATTTCTGGTAAAAGCCGTCATTTTGAAAACCTTTTATAAATAAATGTATTTTCATCACAATCAACTGTGTTTTATTAACTCAATTAAAAAAAAGTTCAAAAAATGTTAAATAACCTAGGTAAATAGTAAAAGCTATTAAGTTGTTTATTTTGTTATATATTATTTTATTACTTTATACACTTTCTACCATAATTTTAGCCTTAGGAAAGATAAAATAGGCATTAATTTATTTTATTAATCAAATTACTATCGTAGGAATTTTCGACCTCACTACCTTTGAAGACTGATTTCAGCAAATAAAGTACTACTTTTTTGTATTAATATAAAGTTTAGAGTCTAGCGCAGTTTTTAAAGTTACCCAGGAACTATGAAATTGCCGCCGGATCAGATTTTTAATTTATAGTTGAAAATTCAAATCTGACTCTCTCGAAAGCGAATTTTCCACTTTGAGTCAAAACTTTCGTAGCTTCCGTTGATGTTACGAAGCCGATGATTTTTTGTGTTAAAGCACAATCGTAAAGAGTGAGTTTAAAAAAAACGAAAAATTGTTGTACAAATTGAAAAAAAAAAATTAGAGCCGACCGAGAAAAATTAGTTGAAAATTTCAAAAAACCCATTAAAAAGTCATAACTCGAAAACTACGAAAAATCGCGGAACATGTATGGGGGTGATTAGGATACCACTCAATGTGGGGCACCAAAATTTTTTTTGGACGTCACTATCCCGGCCACCCTGTATAATTTTACAGGTATCGTGAAATGTTTATGTGACGGGCGAATGGCGATTTACTAATTCTCTACGTAAATACTCATCGAGGGTTCCCATTAATCAACAAAAATGACGCTTCATGTGTTCGATCCGCAAATCGTGGCCATTTGAAGATTTATGGAGGTATAAAAATAGCGTTTATCTGTATTTCTAGTCAATTAGCGGACGGCATCAGATAGGGGCTGAGTAATGCGGCTGTCGGACGGCGCAGCCCCATCGCCGCCACAGTCGGAAAATATCGTTTTCTAAAACCATAAGTCGAACAGGAGGAATTCCTCACAGCAATTCTATCGTTCGTCATCATTATTCGTAATTTTACCCCGTAACTAAGATCCACCTAATTGTACTTGAGAAACAGCTAGTTCGAATATCACTTGATATTCTAAATTCTAACTAGCTGTTCACAGCAATTTTCTTACAAAAAAAGACACAACTGAGAAAGGAATATAGTACATAATTCTCTGGCTTTTCTGGTATTTACAGTTGTGAATTTACTCACTCAAATAAAGTAGTGAGTAAGTAGCTGGAGATTAATCGTCATTAGTGGTTATTACAAGAACAATCGCTTCGTACAAAATCAAATTTCACAATACATGTAGTTAGCTTTTAAGAAAATCATTACAAAGTTACATTTAAATCGTGCAAGGTGAAATTTGAGTAAGGCAAATCTGTTTAAGTGTTTCTTGTTTTTGTAAGCCTGTTACGATAAATAAAAATAAAACCAAAAGAAAGTAAATTTTAAAATGACTTGATTACTTTTAAAGATGCTATATTTATTTATTGAATATCATGTTTTTTACTGTCATGATTTTCATATATTTTTTGTGAAAATGCTTGAATGGTTTTATTATTATTATTGATATAAAGATCAAATACAGAAAAAATCCCTTCGATATGACTGAATATGAACCAGGGTCTGTTGCCACGTCGCGTTCATCGCTCTTAACCAACTGAGCTACAGACTGAGTCAGCAGATGTTAGGAAATTCTTTGTGTTTGTTACATATCGTTTTGTAGCAGTAGATGTCCTTGTGAGATAGTTCGTTCAGGGAAATACTGCCACCCTACCAAATTCTTCCGCCAAGCAATAATGTGAGCATTATTACGTTCCGGTTTTAAAGGGTAAGAGTGCTGGTGAAATTACAGGCACATGAGACTTGTCAACATATGTCTCAGGGTGACGGGCGTAGTGGCAGTGCACGACTTGTTCGTCTCGTCACTTTTATGGTTACTTTCGGGGTTTAAACGGCGTCAGTCAATTCGAAGTAATTTTTCGTTATGTTCGATCTTTGAATCAATACCTCCGCCGTTAGTCAAAAGGGAGCTTGTGACATTTTTTCAAAAAATATCACAAGTGTATATACTGCCGTGATCAGTAAAAAATGTCGATTTATCACTATTTCTATTTTTTTTAAGTGGATAAGGCATGAAGTTACCGCAAGAGAAAAGTAGATATTTTTTTAATTTAATTCTTTATACATTATTGTTACACAAGCGTCCTTTCAACTAACGGTGGCAGAATAATACTTTTATAGTTTTTCATTACTCTAAAAATAAATTTTGGAGAAAAACACTCTCAAATATATCCTTGAACGGTTTATAACTTCCGGCAGCTGTCTACCCAATACACGAAAGTGTGATGTATCGAAAGTTCCAGTTTCAAATGTTACGTAGTAATTGATTATGTGACTTTGTAGTCACGACTATTGATTGGCGTGGATTTCATTTAATTGATTAGTGAACCCGAACCTAATTCATGAAATGTAATATTGGGCCTTACGGTTAACTTTCATAAATTCTATAGCACTACAGCTACAATAGAGTCAAGTACTATGAATAAAGCAATTAGATTATTTATAATTGTACACCTTACTTTGACTGTTACCCGAGTTCTTTGTTATATGCCAAAATTATAGTATTGATTGTAATCGCCGTGTCATGTCTACTATACACTGAATATTAAGTAGGTAATACTTTCAAATTCATGTCAAAGACAACATAAATGAACTAAGCTATGACTTGGAAGAAGGTGAATACTTAAGACTCAGGAATACAAAAATAACATGTTGCTAAATTAAGTTTAGATCCTAAATACATTTATATAAGCCTGTTTTCACAGCTACATATGTACTTAAGT